ATTGTCCCCCTGCCACAAGAGTGCAGTTGTGACACTGCGTATGTGGATGACCTCCAACCATGTGAGGAGGCACGTGAGGTGGGCTTGTTTTCCTGGTCGGTCTCTAAGGTCTAGCCTCAATAAAATCTTGAAAGTTTGAACTTAAAAGAATAAGTAAAAAAAATTAATCCTCGTCGGGGTGCAAGTGTTACAAAGAGGCTCCCCAAATTCTTAATCATGTGTTCGGGTCATAACTAGTAAGACTTATCCATTCTCGTTAGAAAAGCTAGAGGGAGAATATTAAAAACCAGTCATAACTTTCTCCATATTTATCTAAAAAACACGGCTGCTTAATACAAGAACCCAACCCGAACCCACCTAAATGATAAGGGTTGGATTGAGTTTGAGTTTGATTCATTTTTTGAAACTCCATCTTTGTTGGAATTGAGTTTGAATTTGAAATTTAAATGATTGGACACCCATCTCAACTCAAAAACCTTAAAAAATATATATAAAATAGGCCAGGCCCACGCAGAAGCCCAAGCAACCCAAGCCCATGAATCATGAGTCGTGTTGTCTGCCACATGGTGCGTCTGCACTCTGAGGATGCAGACCGTCTCTTTTGCTCTTGGATACACGAGAATTATAACGATGAAGTACACTTTTTCATGGTTCTCATCTTTCTAGTTGTCTCTTGCTTTACGTCTTCATCGTCAAGAGTGTTCGTCTTCGTCGTAGTTCTCATCTCATAGCGAAGGACGACGTCGCTAGCAATAGTCTCTTTATTTTTCTATCGGACTCTCTTCTCAATTCTCATTTCTCTGCTCGACCTAGTCTTTGTGTTTCTCGTCGGACGTCGTCGTCGACTGTCTCTCTGCTTGGTGTTCCGTTTCACTTACATCAGACTTCTCTGCTCGGCGCTACATTGTTTCTCTTATTAGTTTGGAACAACTCGAACTCTACACGAAAATTTTTTAGTTGGGTTGGATTGGTGATGTGATCTTTTGGGTTGGTCCAAAAAAATTCTTCAACCCAACCAGACCCGAACCATCTTCTGTGTGGCCGCACATCTTTGAACACTCTTCCACCTCAACTGGCAACCTAGGAACGATTTGGAAAAAGTGAGTAAAAAATACTCTATAACCAACTTACTGTGTTGGTTTTTTTTTACCCTTAATCTCATATTAATTAATTAATTGATGTTTTGATGATAACAAACCTATTTTTAATTATTTTGAACTGACCACGGTATAAGGTTGAGAAGAACAATTTTAATGACTTTTCAATCACTCAAATTAGAGCTAAAACGAAAAAATTACAGTCGAGACAGCCATAACCGACGTGATGATGTGACAGCAAAATCAAAATGAGGACAAATCAAAATATGAAATTTATAATTTTATTTTTTTTATTATTATATTCTTAAATAAAATTATTTATTTAAATTTGAATCTATACATTACTCCCATTTTTTCATTGCATTATTATATTATTATATTTATATTTTGAAATTTTTGGATTACAAACATTATTTTTATTATTATATTATTATATTTATAATAAATTTTAAAAATTAATATATATAATAAATTTTGAATTTGTTACTCACATCTATTTTTATTATTTTTATATCATATTATTATATTTTAAAAAATAATAATAACAAATTTGATAACTTTCTTATTATTTACTTTTTAATCTCCACATTTTATTTCTCTTTCAACCCAATCCAATAATTCAATCTTTGGATCGTAAATATTAATTTCTACCTTTTGCCACTTTCCTCTTCTATTTAAATTCATTTACTTCCCCACATTTTTTACACACAATTTCCATAATTTTTCATCTTCAATTTTTTAGAACTCTATTATTGTTCTCTAAGTTTCCAATTTTATTTTTATTATCTTATTCTTATTCTGGAGAGAGATTTTTTTATTGTATTACGAGAAAATAGTTGTGAGTGCTCCAAATTGTAAATCTATTATTTGAGAGAGTTGTGGTGTGTTACTACCAAATTCAAATACCTGTATCAGTTTGATCCTGCGTCGTGGAAAGGATTGAGTTTGCTCTTGAACTCGTAAAAAGAGCGGTGTAGCGGTTTGGCTTTGATCCGTAGAAAGAGTCGAGAAAGTTCTTTATTCAAATTCCCAAGAGGCGCTTGGGGAGTAGAGTAGGTCGAGTTTGACTGAACCACTATAAAGCTACTGTATCATATTTTCTAACTTTTTCTTATTTAATTTCAAAATTATTATTGTGATTTATTGCATGTTCTAGTTGATTATTGTTTTGATTTGAATTATTTAGTTCTAGTAATTATCATATTCTACTAATTAGAAAAATTAATCACGTTTAAATACTTTTATCATTAAAACCCTATTCACGTATTTAGGGTTGTCATACCAATCCAACAACTTGTAGGTTGAGAGCTCTCATCACATCTTTAACCTAGTAGGTATCCACAAACTTTACTCTAGATTCTAGGAAGTTCGAGTGATATGAACCAAGAGACATCAATCATACAATATGCTTCAATGAAGATATGAAGAAAATATTGTTAAAATTATCAAAAGATACATCAATTCATGCCACATTGAAGAAGAAAGAAGTTTCATGTTATAAATTTTGGGTGGATTACAATTCAGAGTAATTTAGATTTATTGTATTTCATTAATGTATTTTAAGACATTTAATTTACTTTAGGTTACAATTACATAATGGTTAATTATGACCATTAAGTATGAATGTTACAACTCTTGAAATGCCTTGACTAGTTTCATTTTAAGGTTATATAAAGCCATGTATGTTGTATTTGTAGGGAGACTTGGAAAATATATAGTAAAAGAAGCACATTGGCTAAGTTTATTTGCAATTCTATGTAATTTAGATTACATGTAGAATCATTCAAGCTTGACATGATCAATCTTGCTTGTGGAGTGATTCGAATCTCAAAAAAGTGTTTGAGATATTTGATCAACAAGAATCATTCAAGCTAGACATGATCGATCTTGCTTGTGGAGTGATTCGAATCTCAAACAATGTTCTTTCCTTGAGATATTCGATCAACAAGGTAATTCGAATCTTACTCTCCTTATAGTGATTCTTATCTTATCATCGAGTCTAATCTTTCTGCTATTTGAGCATCTAAAGTGCCCCCCACGGGTTTGTACAGGTTTATAACCTTTTTGCTTTTTGACTTAGGTAGCTTGTTTTACTTGCACAGTGAATGTTTGGTGTCTTAGGTTGAGGTGCTATCTCATATAACTCTCTTTCTGGTGAGAAGAGTATGATGTGCGCTAACTTGCTCATCGTCATCGAAGGTTAACTGGCGAACCCTTCCATACGACTGTAAAGTCACCTTGTGGGTGCGATCCCATGTGCCGCCAGCTAGCTACTGAGTAAACCTATGTGGCTCTACTCCCCCACTTAGGGTGGGTTTATTATCACAACTCTTTCATTAGGTAGGGCGACTAGCCGCCTTGGTGCACTACCCTAATTGATGTAGGCCTAGCTAATTAGTACTAGTATTGAAATGGAATGGGTAGTGGGGCCCTAATGACACCTTAAACTGATGACACTGTACATATTGCTAACAATCTAGAGAGATACTTTTGACATCTTGGATATCGTGGAAGTCTACTAGATTCTTAGGGATGTCTAGACAACTTAACGCTCGTTTCTTGTTTCCGAGACATATAGGACTAACTCCTCGAGTTATTTCATACTCTAGGTACACACAAGTCTAAATCTCTTATCGTTGCTCACAATTTGAGGACACACTGTCTATTGGAAACGTACTTACCTAGGTCAACTTGTAACCGCTCCAACTCTAGTGCCCTAGTCTTAGCTTGGTTATCTTGTACATGTTTTGCTAGGGGGACTATCCTATAGAGCACCTAGAGCATGGTATGCATAATCTAAACATTCGTGCAAGTTTATTAGGAAGATAACTTCCAAAAATAGTCTGGAACACAGATTACAATAGCTCGTCCTTCTTTCTAATGCAACATAAAGCATTTAAAACAATCTACATCACAAATCTCATCATATGGGCAATTAAAACAATATACATCACAATCTCATCATAAGCGCATTTAAAACAATATACATCACAAAATAGTTCTCCTTATTGTTCTCAGAAACTTCGGTTCATCTCGACTCCTATTTAGGCAAGAGAGTAAAATGACCATTTTACTCTTTAGACTTCTCTTCTATCTTATTTTAAAACTTGGGTCAAACTTGGGGTGATATAATACTTTTAGCTTTTTTCCGATGTTTTTATCACAGAAAGAACAGAAGAATTGAACGCTGACATAACGAACTTGACATGGAAAAACTAAACTTTGTGATCACTGAGATATGATCAAAAATGGTGCTAAATGGATGCAGTAGTAACCGAATGAAATGATACATTAGTATCGACACGTAAAAGATAGTTGTTATCGGATGTGTTAGTTAAAGTATAAATCAACACGCTAGCAAGTAATACTTACAAGATTCATCGTCAATCTACTAAGAAAATTTGTTTAAATTCACACATTAATATCAAAACTTATATAAATCATGAACCAATGATAATTATATATAAAAATAGCTCGAGTTTAATAATATCAAATAACATAAACAAGACCGTCACATTAGAATAACAAAGGTACTCCACCTTCTCGAAGTTGAAGACGATTGCAAGTTTCACTACTTCGTCATCTCTCCAAGAGAAAATTAATGAACTTCCTCCGAATGACTTAATAAAGATAGTTATTAATTTGAATAAGTTTTAAAAAAATGAGGAGGTAAGTAGATATAGTTAAATGGTCATAAATTTAACACTTTTAATAACATCGACAATTTATTAAGTTATTAATTTGTAAAAATTATGAAGAAACTGGTTTAAAGGTATTACAAGTTTTTCAAACTTTTATAGAAATAAGTAAGAACGTCCATAAACTAGTTGAATTATAGAAATGGATCAATGATTGACAAATATGATATCAACTAGATAAGTTGCAAGGTCGAGAAGATAAAAATTTGATTGAAAGTAGATTTCATTGCAAAATAACGTAAATATTCATTATCCATCTAAAAGAAACGAATAATTCTTACGATTTTTTACCCTCAAAATTGAAAGTTGATAGAATTAATAAACTAACTTCATGCTTTAACACGAATATCAAATGAAATATAGATATTATAACTCTTAATCAAATCAGCAAATGGTTCTTCCTCCAATCCTTTTATTCTTCTATTACTTCACGATCATGATCAATGGAGCTCTTGTTTCTCATCCTGAAATAAAATAATAATCATAATAATAATAATAAAATAAAATAAAAAACATTGGGTTAAAATCCAACATGAACAATAATATAATATTATTCTTGTTCTTGTTGGGGTGTGAGAGCCAATGCTGAGACATTGGTGCAGCTTTAGTTTGGAAGAACAAGAAGGGTGGCTTTCAAAAAGCTTACATATAGCCATTCATTGACACAAGAATCCAGTGTGGGGCCTCTATTCATCGATAATGACATTCCTCTGCTCATATACTTACAAACTGTATAGTGACATCCGTTTCAAGCTAGCTAAGGGATCATTTACAAGCCAATGGTGTGGCTAGGGTTTCTTGAACCCAATTAACCAACTATTTTGTATAAACATGGACGAACGTATGATATCGATACGTTTAGCTACATTACTATTATAGATTATGATCAGATATTGATCGAGAGAAAATAAATTACAAAGATGATATGATGATGTAAACATTCTACATCATTAAAATAACAATACGAAAGTTATTTTTTAGGAACAAAACTTAGATAGGAATGAGGAGAACCTAATGAGTAGGATATTTTGGTTTTATGTACTTTTATTAACCTGTTTCTATTGCAATGAATAGATACGGACTTCTACTAAAACTTTTGAGCCATTTAAAAGTTACGAGGAGTTACTATTGACCAGGGTGTATAAACTAGTGTTTTTGGTAACGACATTATCATGATTCCTTTTGTATACATATTTTTGTCATCAGTGATCATGATACCTTAGTTACTGGCTCCCGAGTTCCGATACGGATAGGGAACACGGCCCGACTCAATGAACTTGACATCCTCCACAAGAAGTTGGTAGTGCCTTTTGACCTCCTCTTCAGTTTTGCCACCGACAGCTCTTGCAACATTGAGCCATCGGTCAGGCATGTCTCGGTCATACCGTGCCAAAGCCTCCTCAAAGGCTTTGTTTTGCTTTGCAGTCCATGAAGCAGAGCCATGGGAAGACATGGAAGCCATGATAAGAGTATAAAAATAAGGAAGAAAGGGCTGAAAAGGTTGCAAGGGAAAGAAGAATGGCAATGTGTGTGGCAAAAGAGAGGGCAGTGGGTGGTCTTTATAAGAAGGATTAGGAAGGTTGATAGGTGGGGCAAATCCAATTGGGGCAATGAGATATGTTATTGCCATTAAAAGGCATTTCAATGATTTGTCTCCTTACAAACCATGAGATTTAGTAACGACAAAAGATGCAACAACACTTGGAAATGGAGAATCAGTATCTTCTAGAGTGTTTTGAATTTTTTTTTTTTTGAAAAGAAAAGATGGGAGATTGGAAGTATTTTAGTTATTTGTCCATTTGGACGTCAAATAAGAATCAAAATGTTACAAAAACTAAAGTAAATGGACTAAAAATGTCGGTAAATTTTAGAATGTACTTTTAAGAAAATAGAAATCTCTCTTCTCAATGAACCACGAGCCAAATTAGCTATAACACTCGAGCTAAGGTTGACTTTCGTCACAGAACATGTAGCCCTAAATGTCAAGTTGTCATACTAGCTTGACTTCTTGGCTAACGGTAATTTTCCTACATCTTTTTCTCATGTGTTCAATAGCTATTGATGTCAGTTTGGTTTTTTTTACTCTTTTGAGCATCTATCGTTGATCAATATCATCTATCCACCTCAAACTTAGTTGATCAATAGCTATTCCAATGCTTCCAGTTGGTGGGTTTTCTCTTTGATTTTCAATCGTTGCATATCTCACCTCGCCATCGAACATGGTGATCTCTATGTTGGACGTTAACCAAAACCACAATTGTAAAAAGGACAACACAGTGAACGTTTTGTTGTCTTTTCCCTTCCTTTATCCCTCCCGAGTTTCTCTAACACTTTCGTCAGAACTTTGGAACAATAGCTAATGATTCTAAATCTTGAACATTTAGTGTACTGTCTAGCAAAGATCTATAACCTTTTTTAGTGAGTATCAAGATTCTTGCCTCTCTTGAATTACTTCAGCTATCATGAATTGAATCTAACCTCAAATCTTATTGTGTTAGGCTCAATTGTTTACAAAAACGAAGTAATCACATTATCTACCAACTTCCTTCTGAGAATTAATTTGATCTCGACTTCTTTCATAGATGTACTGTGAGTAATAAATCATGAAGGTTCCTTAAATCTATTATTTTACGTGAAGAATGTTGATCATAAATTTTAGTTCGTGTAAAATATACTTTAATACAAAAAAAAAACAAAATAAAATAAACCAAGAAATCAATGATGAAAGAGTTGGGATACATGACAACTATCACTATATTATTATGGGCCCATCTTATGATTGATTGAAGAATACTTTTTGGGAAATATCAATACAATAAAATGATTTATACAACTTGAAACATGTTTGCTTCTACTTTCCCATACTATATTATTTTTTTAACACTTGATACCAAATTTCTTCGTCCATTTTAATTTGACTTGTTCATCTCTAATAAATCTTCGATAATTGTATCGTTTATTATTTATAAAGTTAAAAAAAATTAATAAGTTGAATTGCATATGTATCAGATCAAAATATTAACCGTTTCTTAAATTTATCGTTTAAATCCTTACTTCATATACTTTTGATAAATAAAAAAAAAAAAAATTCTGTATGGTAGGGTAAGCTTTTGTTGGCATCTTCCATGGAGGTTGGTGTGGACCAAAAAGGCAAAAACCAAGAATCAATCCCATTGACCGTACGCACCTATTATGCACCAAACTCCTTTTTATCTTTCTTTCTAACTATCTTTCTCTAATATAAAAATTTGGGTTTGAGTTACTAATATATACTTAAAAAGTTGGATTCGAGCTTTTAACTCTGTAGTTGAGATTATACACGTCTATTAAGTTATAATCAACTTAGTAGAGTTGAGTAGAGTTTGATCTTCGTCTACTTGGCCCGATGGATTATAATCATAAGGTATCCTATGGCTAATATTTCCAAGCTTCCTTTTGGCCAATTTTAATTCTACGAATGATTTTATTCAAGTGACTAATCATCTTCGATCCTGACAAATGTTACGATATTTAGCTGATTACTCAACTTCTCTTAGCGTAAACTATCTGGTGAGATAATTGTAGCTTTTAAAATAGTTTTTGACAAATGTGTTTTTAGATCAACTGTCATGTAAAAACGGACTAGGGGTCTTGATACTTTACGAATCCGACCAAGAAAACCTATCACTAATCCCCTAAATAGCCTACTTTTGGATGAAAAACTCTTGTGTTTTGTAACACATTTAAATGGTTTTGATAAATACAAAGAATCTTGTGCACTTTTTTGGGAAGAAGATTCAAAGGGAATTATTAAGAATATTGCCCACTTGGAGTTTTGTACACTTTCCTATTTGCCATTACTACCAAAAGGCATATCAATTACAAAGAAAGGTTGCCTATCTTGGGATCAAGAGTTTGATTATGAGAGTTTGGTAAGGTATTAATAAACTTATATTTGATACTCATATGAGTTTTAATGTTGAAGAACACATAATTTGATAAGCAATAGGCTACACTATAATATCTATTGGAATATATGGTAAAGAAGGCAAGGAAACAAAACAAAGGCATCAGGATCATAAACGCTAGGGTTGTATCCTTCCTTGGCTTTAAGTTCCAACTTGCTGTAGGGCAGCCCCTCCAAGTCTATGGCAATGGTGTGATGCCCCACCTTTGCTGGGGAGGAGAACAAAACACGGGTGTGGAAACTTTCTTCAAGTAAACTCGTTTTAAAGTCTTGAAGAGACGTCCGAAAGGGACAATATCTGCTAGCGGTGAATCTGAATCATTAAAAATATTTTATCACAATTGAGTTTATTTTCTACCTTTCATATAGAATCCACTAAACTTGTTGGGTCAATTTAAACCTTAGTGATGGGAATTGGTGAACTATGAGTCATAAACACTAGGACTTTATATTAGAGATAGCTCTTGTAATCCTACTAGGCTGTTTAAGATAGTGTTGGGGTCTAGATCAGAACGACCTAACCTTTAATAGTTACGCTCATGTCCTAACCCTTGAATTTGACTTATGGGTTGAAGTTTAGGTTGACTTGTTAGATTAGTTCTCATTGGATTAAATAGGGCGACCTCGATCTTCAAACTGATGATCTATATCCAATCCAATAAATAAAAGGGTTGAGTCATATCGGTCAAACTTTAAAATTGAGCTAATCTTGGATCAAGCCTGGACTGGAGTCCGGCAAATACTCGGGCTTCAAATCTGTCGATAAGGTTGATAAGATGTTTTTATTTCTACACTATTTTTTTTTTTTCTTGTTGAGCTAATGTCGAACTTTAATCTTATTTTTAAGAATATAAAAAAATATATATCCCAAGTCATAGGAAGTTGACGACATGTCATGATAAGATTCTTTAGTGATGATTAGTGGAAAACGACATGAAATAAACTTTTATTTAGAATCTCTTTCAAAGGAAACGCTGATGTTTTTACACATCCTCATATCATAACTTGGATTCTTTATGATACCCAATTCCACCCTCCATTCAAAGGCCACGTTTATACCTACCTATACACACTATTCTCTTCTTGTGCGGTCCTCTCGAACATTTACTTCAACTTGTTAGGAAAAAAACTACTCGTAGGATTCTCGAGTAAATGAGGGATACATGAATGAACCGATATTATATCCAAATGAGAGCAATTCTAAGGATATGACGACTAAGAAAGGTTTAAAATAATTAAAGGTTACTAATTGTGCATCATGCTTTTCAATGACTCAATCAAATGAACTCCAAAATTAAACGAGCTTTGCTTGGAGCATTTTTATGCTAGGTGATCTCTTAAAAATTTTCCTAGTGACCGAAGAAAAAGCACATGGAAAAATTTTCACGCTTAGAAGTAATGAATAACTAACGTGAAAGGGATGCAGAAAAATGTCGGTCCCTCAAGTGTTAACTTCAGTAACGTCTCAAGTCCACCGCTAGCAGATAATGTCCTCTTTAGGTTTTCCCTTTCAGGCCTCCCCTCAAGTGTTAACTTCAGTAACGGACCAAGTCCGCCCAAGTCCACCGCTAGTAGATATTGTCCTCTTTGAACTTTCCCTTTCCGGCGTTAACTAACTTCTGTAATGGCCCAAGTCCACAGCTAGCAGATATTTGTCTTCTTTGGGCTTTCCCTTTCAGGCGTTAACTTCTGTAACGGCTCAAGTCCACCGCTAGAGATATTGTCCTCTTTGGGCTTTTCCTTTCAAGCCTCCTCTCAAGTGTGTTAACTTCTGTAACGGTTCAAGTCCACCGCGGGAAGATATTGTCCTCTTTGGGCTTTCTCTCAAGTCATACCCTCAGGTGTTAACTTTTGTAATGGCCCAGGTCCACAGCTAGTAGATATTGTTCTCGGGCTTTCCCTTTCGAGCTTCCTCTCAAATCTTTAAACGAGTCTACTAGCGAAAGGTTTCCACACCCTTATAAAGGGTGTTTCTTTCGGGCTTCCCCTCAAGTCTTTAAACGAGTCTACTAGGGAAAGGTTTCCACACCCTTCTAAAGGGTGTATCGTTCTCCTCTCAAACCAACGTGGGATTGTGTCCCCAACAAATATGGGATTCTCACCCCTTCCAATTTCGAATCCTAATCTAAATCTTGACACTGAGTCGTTACAACTTGCACTACATTTCTTTGTTTATAAACAAAATCGTTATCGACAAGTCCGAATTTTAATTAGGAGTTAAATATATTTAACAGAAAACTGAAGTAAAAATTTAAACTAAAATAAGATTTAAACCTAAAAAGTAATTGAAGGTGTTCACACGTAGAAGGAGGTATCGTTGTCGGTGAAGAAAATACCAAACCGACCTAAGGCATTGTAGTCACCACCTATATATGGTCCTTCAATTGGGTGCAAAAAGCATAAAAGATTGTGTTATATTCATGCAGAATCTTTGAAGGAAAGAAGCCTAAGAATTAAGAACTAAATGGCAAATGCAATATGTTTGGATTATGAAAATGAGGCCTTCTCAGCAGATAATACGCTTATCACTGCTGCAGCTTGCATTGATGATGGGATATATTCCATTGATGAAGCACAGAGAA